GGGGTCAGTTTAGGGTTTAGGGCTTTAGGGTGTAGGTGTTTGGGGTTTAGGGTTGAGGGCAGTGCGGTTTGGGGTTGAAGGTTTCGGGGATTGAACGTGTGGGGGTTTAGGGGTAGGGGTCTGGGTTTGGGGAATTCGGAGCATTTTTGGCATTGCAGGTGCATGGCTGAAGACTTCCGACAGCATGGTCCGAGGGGCTTGCGAGTTTCGGCATTTCGGGTTGTAAGCTGGAAGGCATTATGGCTTTTGGCTGTAGGGCTTTGGGGCATTGGGTTTGGGATGGGCCGGGTGAAAAATGGCAACATTCTGTGTCAGGTACTTGTGTGGTATTGAGGCAAGCTCCTAATGGGCAAAAGTTGCACCACCGCTCCAAGCACGATCAGCCTCATACCCCCAAACCCCTTCACCTAGCCTTAACCTCAAGACCCCAGACCCTTAACTCCTGAACCCAACCCCCAACAGCCGAAACCTCAAAACCGTAAAGCTGCATGCCTTGATAAGCCTAAACGCTAAACTTAAAATTCCCAACTCCTAACTTACCCAGCCCTACTGAACGCAAAATCCTGAATCATAAACCCTAAACCCCAAACCCTTTACCTTAAAACAAAAGAGAGCGCTGAAGCCTGAACCCCCTAAAAAATCCTCAGCCCAGCTGGGGGGCCTGTCAAAGGTGCTGTCGGCAACCGACGAGCCAACTGGGGTCCGGCGGCCGCGTTTTTGTTCTTTTGGGGTTTGCGGTTCTGTGAGAGGTAGTACAAAGTTGAAGCGCGACCATAACTGTCACTATGAGGTAGCTTCAGGGTTACTACAATCAATGGTTCTAGACGGGCCCTAAACCCTAAACCCTAAACCCTAAACCCTAAACCGTAAACCGTAAACCCTGAGCCCTAAAGCCTAAACCCTAAACCCTAAATCCTAAACCCCAGTGTAACGGTCAGTGTAAAAGGCTCCGAGAGGGGTTTCAGGGCTTCAGGCCGTCGGAGATTCGGTGCTTCGGGCTCTTGGGGGCTTCCGGGGTCCGAGGGTTTAGTGCTTGGGGTTTCCGGCTTCATCGGCATAGACTGGGCTGTTCGATTTTAGGGGTTTAGTGTTCAGGGTTTAGGACAGTGGAGAGAATGCACTCGGAGTGCATTCTTGCACTTACTGCTCTCTTTGTTGTTGCTACTGGTGTTCAGCACTTTTCGTACTCACATTGATTGCTAACGCGTATGCTGAACCCCAACACTGTCTTGCGCGAAGACGCTCACCTGGAGTAGCCAGGTCCATCTCAACTTCGTCAACGGCACGGCCCCCTCTGACGAGCCCCGTCAAAGTGTGGTTCGCAGGGTTAAGAGAAAAGGGTTTAGGGTTTTAGGGTCTAGGAGTTTAGGGGCAAAGAGTCCCTAAGCCCTAAACCGCCTAAACCCCCC